AGTATCCGCATCCAGTGGGTCCCTACTGATAGCGACAAGAAAGGCGCCAAATTGGCCAAGGAAGCAGCGGCATTCTCGACGAGGGAAGATTGGCCATTCTACCCGCCAGACTGGGCGGACATCCAACTTAGATCATCAACCTGGCGATGGAGGCGTGATGCACTCCAACAAGATCGAGTCCAGCAGTTCAGGCGGACAACAACTGGAAGATACACTAGAGAGCTTGATGCGGCCCTACCAGGGAAACATATTAAAAGACTCTATGATCAACTCCCAAGAACCCAGGCATCTATACTTGCGCAGCTCCGAACAGGGCATGCCCGCCTGAACACATTCCTTTATCAAATTGGTAAAATTACTAGCAATGAATGCGATTGCTTGGAAATGCCAGAGACAGTGGAACATTTTCTCTTTCACTGCAAGATATGGGAGGACTTACGTGCTGAAATGAAGACTGAGATGGGCCAACGGTACGGAGACCTTTCCTATGCCTTAGGTGGAAGATCATCCCAATCATCAGCGAGTGGACAACCAGTGGATCAAGAAAGAGGATGGGCACCAAACACCAAGGTAGTCAAAACTGTAATCCAGTTTACCATCAAGACCGGAAGATTCGACAAGGACTGATAAATCAGGGGGATCAAGGAACATCACGTGTACATAGTTGATTACGTCAGGATAGACTAGCTCAGAAGGCTACATGCAGCCTACGGCCGCGAAAAGCCTGAGGAATGTTATTATTATTATTATTATGACAGTTGATGATGGTAGTATTCACTGAAGTTTTTGCACCAGATAACTCTCTGTCACCTAGAAGTCTGACAAATATGAATCTTTCCACAATTCTTCCCATCCATCTCTCCTAGTAATATCAGCAAGTGTCCTCAAGTGAGTGAGCTTCTACAGCCCGGGAAATTCAAGACAAAGCTGCCACCCTAACAGCCCCCACTAGATACTTAGCCTGCAATGGCCGCTCTCGAGTGAAAAAGTTGATCTGCAGAATGTTCTCAGCACATTCACACTTAAGGCGCCATCTTCAAGCCCAGAATTCTCTAAACGCGAAGGTTTGTTCATGCGGCTTTCAGGAAGAAGGACTGCTCACATAACATTATTGCTAGTCACTTCGTATACGAAAGGCCCTGCACATACTATCAGAATTGCATGGAAAGCATTTATACCTATATCGTGCCGTATGCAACTATTGTTGGGCCGTCAAGAATAGGGAGAATTTTGTCGTGAAGCAATCTTCTGTTAGCCATGACCAATATGTGGTTTACATTAATCTGTCCGAGCACGCTGCGAAAGGCTATCCAAAGAGGTCGACTGTCGCAGATGTCATCGACACTTTTCCCAAAGAGGACGTCAACTCCTGCACTCCTCCGTGAAAGATGTTATGAATCTGTTTGAGAAGGATTCACTCAGTACAGGATCCGCCGTGTGTGGAGACCCGAAACGGGACAACAAGCAGCGGAAGACAAAAAGCAAGTACATGTTTGATAATGCGTTGAGGATGGTGGTTGGCTTATCAGTTGCGGTGGACTTTAGCCTATACCCATCGGTCTGTGTTGAGGCGGATCACGAAGCGCTGGCGACAAAGAAAGATTCTTAATTGTCTCCGCATGATTTGGGACAATAATCTCAGTTATCTCGATTTAAAAGTTTCAAAACAAGCGGTCAAAATCATAAAATCTGGACTCACGTAGAAGACATAGACAGTGGGTTGGGCTTGATGCAGTTCAACATAATAAGAATAGTAACTAGTGTTTAGTAGTATCGACTGCAATGGAATAATATGAAATAGACATCATTATCTACATCTCTAGTATCATAGAACATCTACATCCTCCCCTCTTCCACTCATAATTACTCGATCTATGTATATGCATATATCCGTATGTGCCAATCAACATCAATAAACAAAAAAAAAAAAAAAAAAAAAAAAAGACATATCCTAAATCTCAACTCGGTCGTCAGCTTTTCTCATCCTCAACACGAGCGTGAGCATGGGCGTGCGGACTCCGCCCCCTCCCCTCTTCCAAATCCTCCTGCTCCCGACTAGCACTGCTCTTCCTCCTGAAGAACCCCCGTCGATGTAACGACGACGAAAGGCTCAGATTCCCATGACTTTCATTCGACGGTCTCCCATCGCCGTGCGAGGGGACGCTGAGATTGCTGTTCGACGCACCAGCGGGCGTCCCCGCGCCACGGCGAGAACTCTTCTTCGAGGACTCGCTACGTCGGCGCTCGGATTCTTCTTCTTCTTCCTCTTCGCGAATTTCTTGGATGCGGCGCTCGGCTGTTTCGCGGTTTGTTTCGCGGATGATGTCCACGTCGACTCGGTTGTTGGCTTGGCGGTCTTCGAAGACGTCGCCGAGGATATCGCCTGAGGCCATTTCGGACATGCCAAGGGAGAAGTCGACGTGTTTGCGGGAGGCAACGGAGTCACCGCGGGCTCGGGCAGCGGCCGTGTTCATGCCTTTGCGCAGGATGGAGGGGTGGCGGACGGGAGCGGCGGAGGAACTACCGGCACTGCCGGGTGGGTTGCTGGTGTTGTCTGGGCCGACGGTGGGAGTTGGCCGCAATGTGTCGTTGTCGTTGTTGTTGTTGTTGCCGTTGTCATTGTAGCTAGGTGGGGGTTGGGAAGGGGGGGTGCCGTGCCAGTTGACGTGGACGGGGAAGCCGACGTGGGCACCCTGGAGGTTCATGCGCGAGCCCTCGATGCCGATCTCCTGGAGGGCGATCATGAGCATGCAGATGAACTTGTTGCGGCGTTGGAGGCGCAACCCCTCATTCTGCCAGTTAGATTTGTAGAAGAAGACGACGTTTAGTGTGATGCTGAAGTTGTCGGTGACCTCGCGCATTTCGGTGAGGACGTTGGGTTGGAATTCGCGGCTTTCGCTGCGGACGAATTCGACGAGGCGTTGGCGAAGGCCGTCGATTTGTTCGAGTGTCGTGCCGTATTTGATGACGATAGGGATGGCTTCGGCGAGGGCACCAGAGCGGCGTTGGTTGAGGATGAAGAGGCCGTTGAGGTACGAGTTGGGGGCTTGCACGATGTGTCCTTGCATCTTTTTGAATTCTGTGTAGAGGAGTGAGATTTGCTTGACGAAGTAGTCGTCGCCCAGGCCTGCGTCTCCTGAGTTGCCGTACACCGTGACACGATCGCCAACGTCGAACGGGTGCTTCACGAAAACGAAAATGACCGACTGCAGGAATTCCTGCGCCGTCGCAGAAAACAGCCAGGACAGGGCAAGAACACTGGAGCCGGCGGACGTGAGAACACCAGCAGCCGACGTCGAAATCAACGTCAGGAAAACAATCACCGAGATAACCACAACGAAGAACTCCAACACGTTGTCCAGACGAGACACCACCGAATCGAGATCCTTCAGCGAGGCTGTAATGGACTTGCGCTCTCGCCCGGTCTCCACACACGCAGCCTCCAGCTCTTCCATGGAGATATCGCCGTTCATATCGCGATCAAACATGGCGAACGCCGCGTCTGCTTCTTCGTTGTTGTCAAAAGCCTCCTTCAGATCACCGGAGAAAACAGTGTCAAATCCGTCGCGCGCAAAGGTCCGGTACAATCGGCGGGCCAACACCTGGCAGCCCGTGGTGGTGCGCAGCAGGGTCAGGACGACGGTATGTGGATGGGTACTGTTGGTCGCCTTTCTACCGGTAAAATCGGCCGCCACGGCTCCGGCGACATCACCGACCTTCTGCAGCGTACCCTTGGCCACACCCTTGGCCACACGCTGAGCGCGTCCGGCATAGCGCATCGGAGTGCGGAAGCCACTGCCATCGCCCTGGGGAGCAGCACTCTTTTCCTCAAAGTCGGCGTCCAATTGGGTAATCTTCTCGCGGGAGTAGCTGTAGAGCTTGGTCAAGCTACCAATCTGGAACTTGTTGATTTCAATGCGATCCGAGTACGTGCGGAGATGGAAGCTCATGGCGATCAGCTGAATGAGGAACTTTTCAACCAGGTTCAGGACGGTCCAGACGAAGAAGGAAATGATAAGCTTGTTGACGATGTTTTCCCAATCGCGTGTACGCCCGTCATTGTCGACATGGTGGTTTTTCATGGTGGGCAAGAAAGAGATTTCCACGCCCAACCACCAGAAGAAGATGGTCGCATGAAGTTCGAGTTGCTTGGCCAGATCGCGCCATTTCTTCGCATTGTTGGTGAATATACTAGCCAGGATTCCAACGGGGATGGGGAGTGTTTTGGCCACAATCTGTTCAGTTAGCTGCAATTCTTCTCCTTGTCAGGAACGGCACATACCCGTCCTGCCCACAAGGTCAACCAGACGATTTCCAACCAAACGGAGAACCACAGCAACTCGACACCTCCGACACTGGCATTGGGAAATGCCAAAGCACCAACCAGCAGAGGAATCAGCAAAAGCAGAACAACGGGCACAATGTAGGTAAAGTATCGGATGATAAAGCTCGACTGATGGAGCTTCTTAATGAAGAGAGCGAGGGTTGTGTTGGGGTTTTCCGGAGGATTGTAGACAGCCGCCTTCTCGTGCAACGGATTAGTCGCCTCGTCAAATTCATCGACGTTCTCTGAGCGGCGAGACCGGCTCCGCGCGGCGGAACTGGCAGACTTGTGATCCTTGTCCTGCTCATCCCGGGTGGACACGGAGGCCACCCGTTCAGCCTCCAGCAGCGCCAGATCATCCTCCAAACGCAACGACTGTTCGCGGTTCGCAGACGGCGAGCGCAAAGCCATCAGATCACGGTCCAATGCCGTCTCAACCCTCAGGTGTCCGGGATCGCTGGGACCGGGCTCTTCGTAGTGGCCATTGTCGGAGGGCGAGATGGCATCGTCATCGTGGTGAATGTAGTCACTCTGAGAAACCCTTTTCTTCTCGTCTTTCTTGTCGTCTCTCTTATCGTCGTGATATTTGGGTTCCGGGATCTCCTCCACGGAGGTCGACATACTGGCGCCAGGCCAAAGATAGTCGGGAATTAGAGCGGTAAGATATTAAAAAGGTGTAAATATAATACAGGGAACTAAGCCAGAAGGCGATATTAGCAAGAATTTCGGGTCAATGGGCGAACGCCATGATAATAAATGAATAAATGAAGGTGAAGAGAAAAAAAAAAACTCCGACGACGCACGAGCCGATCAGGGGTATATTAACACGGGACACGCAGAGATTGAATACCCCATATAACAGATAATGCGCGGACCCGAGTCAATGGTTATTTTTATGCTGATATGCTGACTCGAGGTGGGTGGCGTAAGGGCTATTACCTGAGACAGTGTGCAGAGTATAATTAAGGGTAGCTGTAGCTGTAGTATAGCTGTAGTGTAGTTGTGGAGACACTAGCACTGCATCGGAGATGAATGAGAGATGGGATAAACGAGGGTAAATAATAATATTGGTAATGATATACACAGCAATGAAAGGAAAATGGAAGAGACAAGACAAAAGAGATGAAGAGACGAGAGATATGAGAAACGAAAAGAAAAAAGACAAGAAAGGCAAAAAAATGGAGCAGGAAGTGTGATGGCAAAAGCCACGGATTGACTGGTTGCCGATCTCGCACGTACTCTATGTGCTTATCGATCGATCGGTGAGTTTTACCACTGGCAATGTTCAATCTGTACAAGTACAAGTACTCTGTAATATACTCTGTACACTACTATCGATTGCTTACAGTGTTCTTTCTCGCAACACCATTATTCTATTCTAGGATATAATATAGTTTATGTAAAAATAGCTCGTGCCGTAAATTACCGTATCGCCTCTGGTGGGTTTTGTAATCCAGTGGGTCAGCCGTCAAAGTGGCCCATTGTGTATGTTCTTATTGGCTGTCATCTACAATAGGTGGGGTTGGCCAATTCTAGAAGAGCTGCAGACCGCATTGTGGGGACCGTATGTAACGACATTACGCATCCCAAGCCGACCTAGATGCGTCTATCGGCTGGTGTATTGTATAGAGTTGTGATAGAAGACTTACCCCATCTTAACAGCAGGGATGTATTTGTATGGCTACAGAGCACTTGTACAGCCTATTCACCGTAAGCAAGAAAGACCACAACAGAAAAAGCAACTGATATCACCACTGTCCTGACATCATGTCTGGCCATTGACTTTCCCGGAGATCTACCGACCAATTACGCCTCCTCCGTGGTGTTGATGGAGGTCAAGTGTTCTATTCGATGGACGCCCTGTACTGATCCTTGGTGCGACTTGGAGACGCCACTGCATGTAACTTATACTTATTATTATTATGTACCGTACGTTGGTAGGTGCATTTAAGCGAGCTTCTCGACCCAGTTGTATAGTACAAAGTCCATACTTAATTAACCCTACTTCCGGAGAAACCGAGCATATGCATAAGTTTGCATAATCCTGCATAGATGAATGGATCAGAATAATCGTAGCTCATGGCATAATTTGTACATAAGACAGTCCTTGAAAAATATACATAAAAGGTTATCACCCGACTTTTTTTTTCTTTTTCTTTCTTTTTTTTTTTCTCCACGGTATCAAAATGAGTATCACGTACTTACACACACAACCTTGTCTCGAAATGATGAGAAATCTGAAGAATTTCAGTTGAACAGATAACGAAAAGAAAAGAAAGTAAATGAACGAACATGACCAGTCCGGCTGAGATAACCCCAAACACCCGCTTGATATCACAATATGCAGAATAGAAACAAAAAAAAAAGGGAAAAATAAACGACAGACTGGAGAGTAATACTGAAGTAAATGCAAACAAACCGAACACCGTAATGAATGGGAAAGAAAAAAAAAAAAAGAAAAACAAACTCCGTAAACTCGACGAATCTAGTTTATCTCCAAAGCTAGTAAGGCTTGCGAGGAGTCACTGGATCTGGATTAAGGGTAGGCGTATGCAGCGGTCGAGGGGTCGCGTCAGAATCATGAGTCTGATCGAAATCCTCCATATCTGATTCCGTCTCGGGTGCTTCCATCGTCTTGATAGTCGGTGTGTCAGGCACGACCATGGAAGCATCCAAGTCATCCTCATGTTGCTCGAACAAGATAGGAGGCGTTAGCTGACCTTTGCTTTTGATCAGAGTCCCCGATCGACTTCTTTGCGTAGGAGAGTCGATTTCGGTGCTCTGCTCAGAAAGCGACTGCCGTCGAGATCTCGCCTCTGGTGAAGGGCTATGTCGTAGACTAATTCCGCTGTATTCCGAAAGGCGAAGCTTGTCCAGATCGCTTCCCAGCTCCTTGTCTACGTCAGAAGGTTCCTCGTCGATTTCACAGACCTCGTCAGAGCCCCGACTCTGGCTTCTCCGCAATGATTCCCGTTCTCTTTGGAGTAGTTCCTCGCTGCCGCTGACCACGCTGCCCCGGCTGTTGGTTCGCATCATCTCGATCCCCAACTTGGAGCCAGGCCGATTGCCTCTGCTCTGCGGGCTGCGCGTCCGGGACGGAGTGTTCCCAAGCTCCTCGTCCTCATCGTCCCCAGACTCTGCGCATTCGTACCGTTTATTCTCCAATGACTTCCGCTTCGCTTGGATAGACTCGCTGGACCGCTGTTTCCGAGGAGTGAGAGCACCCGATGCACTCATGACTCCTGGAGCCGAGGCAGAGTGGAGCAAGTGTGGCACCGGCGCAGTTTGCGATGGTAATTTGGGATCAGAGGCCGCATCACCGGAAATCCCTAGACCGCCTTGGTTCTGGCTCCATTCGTCGGCTTGGCGACTGATGATAACAGGAACATCATCGGTTTTAACAGACTCTGTATCACCGAAGCTACTAATAGAGTCTTCGCGGCTTGACCCTTGATAGGAGCTTGGAGGCGCATGAGCAAATCCAGAAGACGTAGTCGAGCTTGGGCTGTCTTCACGGTGACGAGAAAGATGGCGAGGGGGAGCAGTCGGCATTGGCAACGGTTGAGAAGGGTTATAATCCTTAGGGGGAGGCTTCCATTGACAGAACTGACAGAGCGCTTCGGTAAGCTTGGACAGAGTAGGAGGCTTTTCGATCAGCGCATCAAAATGATGTGTTTCTGGCAAGTCTTTAAGATAACCGGTCACGGCAATGATTGGAGTATGGCGATTGGCACTTCGTGTCTCGCGGACCATGCGCGCAAAGTCCGCTCCATTCAGCTGAGGCAGTTTGTACTCCGTCATGATAATATCGAATTGAACTTCACTAAGAGCGTAACTCGTAGCCTCCGCGCCGTTCCTTGTGGTAATCGTTCGACAACGAAGCTTCTCAAACAATCGCTCCATGACAATCCTCGAGACCGGGTGGTCCTCGCAGATGAGCACATCCAACGGGCGGAAGAAGGGTCCATCGAGAAGATTGATTTGAGAAAGACGTCGGGAGCTTTGACGACGTCGTTGAACCTTAAGTAGCGCCTTGGTGCGGGGGTCCTCATTATCTGACGATGACGGGGAGGCGTCGAATAATTGACTTCGGCGTTTAGAGTGGCCTGCAACGTAGGACTCCTTCGCAAGAGACGAGGACAATTCACCTCCATCCTGAGAGCCCACAGTCTGAGACCTTGCCCGGGTGGAAACTCTGCTTTGACGCGGCGGACCGGAAGGCGTTTTGTCAGGAGAGTGTGTCCCCATCCGACTAGGCTTGATGGGGGACGACCCTGTCGATGGCATTGCACTTCCTGTTGCAAACGTTCCACTCGACTGCTGTGAATTGGCAGACGAAGAACCCGACGTCTTCCTGCGCTCGTGGTTGTTCTGCCCTGTGCTGAACTGGACCAGAAGCGGCGAGGAGGGTTGCGATGGACGACTGGGCGACGAATTGGCTTGGCTCATGTTAGAGGGAGAAGACGGTCGATTGCCCTTATTTTGCGACATAGCTCGCTGCAGTGGCATCGGTAACGGGCTTCCCTCCAGAGAAGGCGCAGACGGAGATTGTGGAGTTGCCAGCGGCTGCGGTGCTGGTATGGGCTGCTGTTGCGACTGCTGTTGCTGGGTCGAGGGCGGCGGCGTTGGCTCTTGAGATTGAGGTTGACCCGGGGCGCCCGAGGTGGATTGACGCTGCTGAGCATGCTTTGCTTCTTGGCGCAATTTTTGAATCTGGTCTTTGTTGGCTTTCTCCAGCATTGGAAGGTTTTTAAAAGTGAAGTCACCAAAGTCATCCCCGGCAACAGGCTCGCTGAGTCTCCTGCCCCGCGAGTCACGCGAGTCACGGACATGTGGTGGAATTGCCAGAGGCACCAAGGACCGCTTTATCGAGTTGGCCTGGGAGCGAACCTTGAAAAGTGCATCGTGCGGGCGAGGCGGATATGGTCCGCTAGTCAATGGTTGTTGCGGCGACGCTCCATCATCCTGCTCGTCAGCGAAAGCTTGGTCTGTCGCCCCGCGCGGATCAAAATAATCCGTGTCTTCTGGATTTTCGATGTTGGGGACAAACTGAGCCTTATCTTCCAGAAGAGTATCCCAATTCACATCAGAGAACCAAGGATGACTGCGAATCTCAGATCCACCGTTCGGAAACTTCTCATCGACATTGGCTCCAAGTCGCTCTCGAGGGTTGAGCGTCATGAGCTTGTTCACAAGATCGATAGATTCCGGAGTTGCTAATTCCTCGAGCTCGTCGGGCCAGTTGACTCTTCGGTGAAGGATGTTGTCAAATACTTCATCCGGCGTGGCAGCGTTGAACGGCGGGTATCCGAAAAGAAACTCAAACATGATACATCCCAACGACCACCAGTCACTGATCTCATCCTGACCAAGTCCATTGATAGTCTCCGGTGCGAGATAGTCAGGAGTACCCACGAAGCGTCTATTCTGATCCTCCGGATCAAAGAGTGCCATCAATGGCGGCATCATCGACTGTTGTGGCGGTGTGCCAAAAGACGTCTGGTTGCTGGCGGTTGGCTGCAGGGGATGCAGATATGGAGAGTCACTAGTTTCACTTTGACCATCGTCTTCTGTCAGATTGCTCGGAAATCGGCCCGGGAACGGGGCTGGGCTGGTAGCATCGCCGCTCTCATTGAGTGAAAACCCTCGAAACACGTTATGCAGGTTATCGCTTCCTACACTGTCACTGCGATAGCCAGACTCTCGTCGCGAGCTTTGTCGACTGAGACCACCCTGGCTAAGACTGAAGTATGACGGCTGGGTCATGCTGCTCGCCGCATCATTCGGTGTGATCAAGGGCGTGGAACCTGGCGAATGACCGCCTTGGAAATCAAACGACGCAGATCGCGACGAGGTCATCGAGGTTGCACGAAGGGGTTCTTGTTTAAGGGGATCGGGTGTCGACTCGTTTTCATTCAAACTCTTCAGAAGACGCTTTTGGCGTCCCACGAGGCCCATACGAGACAATCCGAAGTCGGTCAGTTTGAGGTGTCCAGTCTGGTCGATAAGTAGATTGTCCGGTTTGAGGTCACGGTGGACTATTCCTCTTCCGTGCAGGTGTTCAACCCCCAAAACCACTTCAGCAATGTATTTCTTTGCCCAGTCTTCAGGGAGACCCCCCAAGACCTTTACAAGAGAAGCACAGTCGCCCCCATTGAGATACTCCATCACCAGATAGAGATAGTCTTTGCTGGAGAAAGTCCAATAAAGTTTTGCAACGAAATCACTTTCCCCTTGCCACATCATGATCGCCCGCTCAGCCTTGACATTCGTAGTCTGGTTCTTGGCAATCATATCGGCCTTCTTGAGCACTTTGATGGCAAAGTATTCACCAGTCGTTTTCTTCTTAGACAAGTACACGCTACCAAAAGCACCTTTACTGATAGGTTTGATAATCTCAAAGTCCTTTATCGATGGAGGAGCAGGACGTGGTTGATGCTGGGTCATCCGTGGTGACACAGGCGGCTTAGCAACATCCGAAGACGCCGCGGACGACTGGCGCCGGTGATGGGTATGGTGATGAAGATGATGAGAATGGTGGGCCGCAGTTTCACTTGCATTCGTAGATGGCGAGGCCATGGGAGACGGCAAGCTCTCGGCACCACTCGACATACGTGGTTTGGGCACCCGCAACGGGGAACGGGGTGCAGCACTCCTGCCAGGAGATGGTTGCCTTTTGGGGGAGTTGGCAAGGCCTGGGAGCACCAAGCTCTTGCGTTTCCGTTCAAGACTCCGATCGGATGACGGGGACTCGGTCCGCATAGCTCCTGGAATGGCCGACGACAGAGCGCTGCTATCACTCGTTTCCCCAGCGTCGGTGTCAGTCAACGAAAGGCCACGTCGTGACTGTTGCGAAGTACTCAGACCGGCCACGCTCTTGAGTGAACGTGGCGTGGGACACTCCATCGGACTGTTCGGGCCGGTAGACATAGCAGCAGACGATATCCTCCCGTCGGGTGGTGGCACTTGGAACGTATCAGGCGCATTACGAATGGACTCTGTCAACGCTGATGTCGTAGGATGACGGGGTGATGGCATGGCAGGTGGTTCTGGGTTAGGCTTCGATACCTGCTCAGCAGGGGATTCTCTCTCCTCCCTCTCCTCCCCCTCCCCCTCCCCCTCCCCCTCTGCCTCCTCTTCCTCCTCCTGTGGGGGAGGAGCTTCATCTTCTGAACAGGAAAAATCGCTCAGCTGGCCGGCAGCAATACGCTCAGCCTTGCTGAGGGCTGCTGTGATACATTCTTCGACCAGTACAGTGTATTCAATGCGGATTCGCTCAGCGTATTCGACAATTTTGCGGTGGCGGATAACGGCATCCACCTTGGCTTTGCAAACATGCTCTGTGTCCATTGACAAAGCCGCTAAGCCCTGCTCTTGTTCCAAGGTGTTGCTACTCGGAGACTGCCATTGAATAACCTGAGAAATACGGGACTCGGACTGGGGCGACAAGGTTCGAAAATCGTCCGGGGTATCGGCACGGGTTTCTTTAATGATTGGCATGTTCACCTCCATAGCCGTGTCGCACAAATCAAGGATGAGTTCCACGATTCGGGCCAGTGGCCGTCGCACAGCGAATGAACGGCCCCGAGCATGTCCCGCACTCGACGTAGAATGTTCTCTTGACCGAGGAGGTGTCGCAGGGGCGGAACTAGAACCGGACGTAAGTCCTGACGATGGCGCTGAGCTTGCCGGCGAAGGCCCAATTGGCAAGCCCTTATACTCTGGTTGGGGAGTTACGACGGTAGCGGGAGGAATGGCGGGAGCAAGGGCGGGGGGGATAGAGTTGCCGTCGCCAGTCAAAGGCCGACTCTGTTGGACTTCGAGTGCATCCAGCACTTTGACGATAGCATGGCGATGCTCATTGAGATTCTCCTGAGCGATTTGGACATCCATCTCGGACCGATGCTCTTGCAGACAGAGATCCGAATGCTTTTCAAACCACCAAGGCGTAATCTGACGTTCACAGATGCGGCATAAGATTGGTTCCGGTGCTGGATGCTTGGATGGATCGGGTTCGTTCGCCGCTGCCTCCGCCAGGGTTGTCAAGTAGTTTGCCAACACTTCTGCACCAACACCCAAGGATTCCACGAGGAGCGGGGGGAGGTCGATGGTCACTTCTCTCGGCTGAGTGAAGGGTCGCAACATCCACATAACCTAGAGCCAATCCACGTTAGTTATTTTGATCGTAGAGGAGATTAAAGAACGGCACTTGCATGGCCCACATGGCTGGATCCATCAGTCGTACGATCGAAAACCATGATTCCTTGCGCCTCCATGTCCAGAATGCCATGGAGATAATCTTCTTCTGCCTTCTCGAGCGGCACCTCCTCAGCTTTCTCCGGGACCTTCCCTTCAGTAACCTTCATCTGTCCTTCCTCCAGCGGTCGTGACTCTGGGGCATACTTCAAGAGAGAGTCGGGACCCATTGGCACCGCAAAGCGAATGAAACGACTGCGCGAATCGTCCACCTTCAAGGACTCAATGGCATCCTGAAACACATCCTTATTCCCGAGCAAAAAGTCTGCAATCATGCGCCCTTCAACGGACTCGGGAGCGGTGCCCACGACCTGTTTCCACGACGGACTAACCCATTTGATCCGACCATCGAGATCCAAGTCGACAATGACATTCAGGGTTTGTTCCGCCGCCTCCTTCAAATCTTCACGCTCTTCTCGCATATCATCGCTGATCGAACGGCTCATTGGTGGGAATTTCGGGTCGACACTCCGGGCCTCCTGCCGTAAGGCAGTAACGGCCGGAGGAGCAAGGAACTGAGAATTCGGTGTGCCATTGCCCGCCATGCTGAATAGACAACACGAGGACGTTGGCTAACACGAACGACGGAGAGGATCCTGGTAGGATAGTCGCAACAAAACGAATGAGTCGAAGTTTTGATACCGGACGGACCGGGATTGGCCCTGTCGAGGGATTTGGGATATTATGAATTCATCCGTAGCAGGCGGGCTAGTTGGTCATGGCGAAATCGTAGCACCAAAGAGGGCGAAGGAGAGTATAGAAGGGAGGGATGGCAGGGAGAGTCAGGAACCCAAGATGACCTCACACTTTTTTCGGGTAGAGAGGTCAGCCAGTTGCTCAATCAAGACACGCCCTCCCAACAGGAACGGCGGGATTTCGAGGCGAAGCAGTATCAAGAAATATTCGGGAATCTGGAAAGACGCTAATCGGAGATCCCTGTAGGAAGGAGAGAATTTTTATGACAAGGACAAAAAAAAAAAAAAGAAAAAAGGAGGGAATCCGTCTGTGCGGGGAGATGAAAAAGCGCGACGGCCGGGAAAGGCGCCTTGTCAACGCGAACAAGAAGCCAGGATGATCGACGACGGCCGTTTCACCAGATGAACGGCCGAATGGGGGATGATTGTAAGCAGTAAGGATGGTAATAATACACCCAGGCCGGAGAGAGGAATGGGGGAGAAAGAAAAGACACGCAGAGGAGAAAATATGCAGAGAGGAATTTGGAGAGCGTCAAATAACAATATATGGAGGGAGACAGACAGGAATAGAGGTAAAGCCGTACAGAGTAGAGGAGGGGAGATAATAATGTATGCTGTGTATGGTAACGCCGGTGTATCTGGGCTATTACTTACGGCTGGAAATACACGGCGGATGGAAATTGGCAGGTCGTACCACCAATGCAGCACATTTACTAGTATTTACTAGTAGGAGAAAGAACGATCATGCTATTATGATATATCCAGAAAAGGATTCATCAGATTCATATATAGCTTGCCTTTAATCTACCGAATTCAACGTCAGAGTACTGCTGAACTATGATCTCCGTAGCAGTATGGATACGACAACGTAGGAGTACGATTCTGGATACTATTTTCTTCAAGTTGCCCTGTGAATGGCCAGCTTACTCCGGCATCATCATCCATGAATTCATCCCATCCATGTCTCGTGTCGAGTGGAGAGGTGGTTGAGTTGTAGTCTGTCCCCGGCTCTATATGGCATCTCTTCTCCGATCTTATCAAAACATCACGATAACCGATGAGCTCTAGGACTTTTACGGATGCCCAGAAGGAATCGATTTGATTTGCTTTGTACTTTTGATCTCATCCCGGCAAGCATCCAGAGCAGAAAAACCATCCCGGGCAGTACATATAGCTATCCGAATCCCCTGTGTCTCGACTTCTCCGGGGGACTTATGTAACCCGGCAATCGTTCTCATTCCTGGATTATTATTCGCCATGGCTATCCACCATAGACCAGAAAATCAGACACAAACAAACAAGGATATAGACTCTAGCCCGTGATGATGTTGATGTACGCCATCTCTGGACGTCTGGACATTGTTCCGACCACAGAATCGGAAGGCCGTCACGCCACGCCAGTTGACCTTGGCCATTATACTCTATCATCGACCCATGGGTCCTCACTCCATGCTCAGTTCAATACCAGAGAAATTGAGTTCACCTGACCTATTGTCTTGTCCAGAGCCGTTCCATACTTTTTCTGTTTTCGTCATCCCAGTGATTATACGCTGTTCTGTACAGAACGGCACTGCGACAACAAGCTATTACCCGAATCGGCTGGGCACATACAATGTACAGAAACCATCTGCACAGTGACCCTCACGCTTTTTCCGATTGGTAAGCGATTTTTGCTCTCCTTGCCGACTGCAATGTTGTCTCACTTGTGTCATTCTTTTGACCGTTATGTGTTATCCAAACAACATTTCAAACACGTTTCATGCTCCTTGAGGTTCCAAAGGAATTCCATTCATCATCATTTATATTCTTCCTCCTGACCCAAATGGAAGTGAAGGAGGTACTGGTACGCATCTTCCGTTCCTCTGCGGGGTCGAACACGTCGGCGGGGAGGTTAACCCGTAGCATAAGACGCTTAACCGCAATTGGTTAGTGTCTTTCTCTTCGTCGTCCTTACTGAAAGCGCTGGACTGTACGGGCAGAGTCACGGTGCAGACTGCAAAAGACTGGGATTTATGCGCAGAGAATGACATTGATGCGGACCTCCTCACTCAATTCACGAATCAAGGAATGAATATCATGAGTGGTGGGTCGGATCATCACGGACACACGTCCGATCCAGTCACAGTCTTTACGTCGTCCAAGAACGAATTTACTACTCCGTATTAGGTCCGGAAGAAAAGACGGAATTGGACTCACAGCAGAATTATAAAGACTCAATTCTTTGGTCTGTGTGACAATCGCCTTCCCCAGGTTTCATGATCTTCTTCCCCATGCGGAGTGAACCCAACTCTCCTATCCAACGCCACCAACACGGTTACTGGAACGGCCTCCCGCTTAACTCTAAATTGGACTACGTTGTATACGTTGTATGGTCTGGACAAAGACTGGTACATCTGGGGATGAGCCCCCACCACCCCCCCGCGGCATCGAGTCAGGATTCGTCAATTGTTGACCTTCGTGGTGGCATTGGTCGACTGGGAAGCGGAGGTGATAATAGTAGGACATGGGTTGACTGCTATTGGTAGGTTTACGGGGTGAACGCGCCTGTAACAAAACTTTCGGAGTCGCTGTTTTGAGTATTTCATGAAAGGGAGGTATGCAATCCTTTGGCAGCAGTACAATTACGCACCCGAGCTATGTGAGACTCAAGTTGGGTTCAACTTTCACATCGTCTTTCTGGAAGCCAGCATGGTTACACCAGCCCTTGAATTGATACTGCGTGCCTGCCAGAAACTAAGCGTGATGTTATCCCATAACCAGCAATGCACATCACGGAAACTCACGCCGTCATTGGCACAACATCTACAAACCCCTTCTCACAGTCATGGAAAGCAGGGCCGCACTTTTCCGCGACTCACACTCAGAATACCAACCCGCCAAAACTCAGAATTAGTTAATCATTCCGTACTTTAGTAAAAGAGGCTCTGCTCGAATCTCTCCGCCCAGTTTCGCTAAGCCTGCACGAGGCCACTTAGTCCACGCTAGCCCCATAAAATATATTGCTATCCCGTGTACATCTCGAAAATGCTCCAATTAGAGCCTTGGCTCGACCGCGGAATTAGAACCCTGTTTCGTCAGGGAGGAGAGTGAGAATGAATCCCGTCGTACAAGGGTAGAGGCTGAGGTATATATAGCCGGATGAGGTCCCTGGGGTTCAATCATCAAAAAACAAACAAGAGCGAGAGAGCAGCAGCAACGCGATGGATCTATCTAGTGAACTCGAGTACTATGACTATATAATCTGCGGGTGAGCACGTCTAATTCCACGCACGGAATTTCCTACTAAATCTCTGCAGAGGGGGAACATCAGGCTGCGTGGTGGCTGGCCGACTAGCAGAAAACCCCAACGTTAAGATCCTCCTCATCGAAGCCGGACAACACAATAAAGATCTCGAAAATGTCCACATGGTTGGCGGGTTAGTCTTCTTCCCCTCCCTTTGGCGATGGCATTTTCCGCTAAACTGAATCTACAGCTGGTCCAACAACTTCGACTCCGAAACAGACTGGAACGTGGTTACACCCCCAATGAAAGGCATCGATAATCGCCAGGTCAAGCTCAGCAGAGGCAAGTTTCTAGGCGGGTGTAGCGGGTGCAATGGCACGCTCTGCATCCGGGGGAGCAAGCAGGATTTCGACGATTGGGAGTTGGAGGGGTGGAGCGGGGAAGAGTTCTTTGGCTATATGAGAAAGGTACTTTCCTACAACCATGAATGAACACTAGCAAATACTTACAGAATTTGCTGTGAAGGCAGAAACTTTCCACCCAAAACCCTGGTTCGACGCCAACGAACAAGCCCACGGCTACGATGGCCCCCTCCACACCGAACCGCACGATCTCGCACCTATCTCGCAGCTCATCATGTCATCCTTCGTGTCTGAAGGATTACCGCATGTACCCGATATGTTCTCGACAGGCGAGACACCGCACGGGTGCGGCCATGCCCCACGGTCAGTGTACAATGGTCTACGGACGACGAGCGCCGATTTCGTTACGAATGGGTTCATTCGCAAGAACGTCACCGTTGTGACGGGGAGTACAGTGGATCATGTGCTCGTTGAGCCGGATGCACAGACGGGTGAGCTAGTTGCTCGGAGTGTATTGGTGCAGGATACGTTTAGTGGTGATGTGAGGGCATACCATGCGAAGAGGGAGGTTGTTATCTGCGGAGGCGCATACTGCAGCCCTGCTATCCTCCTGCGCTCTGGAATTGGACCGAAATCCGAACTGGAAAAGCACGACATTCCATGCGTGGTGGATTCACCGGGCGTTGGCCAGAATCTCATGGATCATCCTGTACCCCTCCCATTATCTCCCATGCTCCCTATCCAATACTAATGCCAATAAAACAGATCGTATTCATATTCTACGAAACTGCCCACCCAAACCTAACAACCGACCACCTCGTATACCACAAAAACGCCTTCGAAACCACCTACAACCTCTGGAAAACAAACAAAACAGGCTTCCTGTCCACCTTCCCCTTTGGCGCCTTTGCCTACGCCCGTCTCGACGACCGCCTTGCCAACGAGCCTCTCTGGAAAGAGTACCAAAACACTTCCAAAGACAAACAGGTTGGAAATGAGAAGCGAGACCCCATGTACCTCCTCCCCTCCAAACAACCAAATATCGAACTCTTCACGACAGAATGCTATGGCGGACCGAAGCAATACGATCATTTTCCTGCGTCTCCAAATCGGGATGCGAATGTTTTCTCGATTATAGCGGAGTTATTCTCCCCGCATTCCCGCGGTAGCGTTACGCTTTCGTCGAGAGATGGACGCGAGAATCCCGTTGTCGACTGTAACTATCTAGACCACCCGCTTGATATGCTGGTTCTGTCCGAGGGCGTGAGGTTTGCGAATGAGATTGTCATGAATGGGGCTGGGACGAAGGGGATTGTGAAGGGGTCTTGGCCGGAGGGGCTGGGGTATGGGACGCCTGGAAAGGAGAGGTTTAGGACGAGGGAGGATTGGGTGCCGTATGTTAAGGAGCATGCTACTACTTGTGAGTTTACCTTTATCCCGGGCCTATCTAGGACGAATATGCTAACAGTGAAGGTTACCACGCTGCTGGCACTTGCGCTATGGGAAAGGATGATAATCCTATGGCAGTACTGGATAACAAGCTGCGCGTGCGTGGGGTTGCAAATCTGCGTGTGGCAGATTGCAGTATCATGCCTACTCTCCACGGGGGACACACGCAGATGCCGGCTTACGGTATTGGTGAAAAATGCGCAGACTTGATCAAAGAAACTTGGTCGACGGACAATGTGAGCCAGGGCTTGCGTGCTGTGTTATAGTTTTTTTATTTTATTTTTTTTTTTTTAAAAAAAAAATAAAATAAAATAAAATAAAATAAAATAAAGAATGCAGGTTCGTCTCATAATGACATTCGTGGTATCATTTTGATACATAGCATGCAAATATATAAACCAGGCGTAGGCAAGGTATATAAACGTCAGCTGAAGGGCTTATGGGTACAATACAGTCATTACAACGATGTTTCAGCCAGCATAAATAGGAATCAGCGAGCACGGTTCCTAAAGACTCCCAAGGACCTCTGAAGATACCTAAGGGGCTACGTGATCTACTGCATAACATACGTCAGAACCAACAATTACATCTCCGAGGCCATTGAGAAACTCTGCTCATACACGAAGTATGCACCTACAATGAGCTGCACGATTTCTGGTTGACCGATCCATCAAACCTACAGCAAGATCTTACATAATTCATGACCTATTAACTAAATTGGTGGTACTGCCACTGACTAACCCATCGTGGAATTGCTGGATGATGGCCGCGAGCTTCTGGGTTGCTTGCAAAGCTATGAGATATTGTTGGTGTGATAAGTGATAATGTGTGTATTATGCTTGACGCGAGATACTTCAAAGATTGTGCGCTAATTCGGCTTCTCGCTGCTATATGGGATTTCCCAAGGAGCTGCGCAGCCAATTGATGTAAGGATTCAGTAATGCTATTCCATGCGGACTGGATAGAAACTCTCGTTGCACATCATTGGTGCAGACTATCCAGTCATGATCTGATGATTCAAATAGCTTAGGACCTAACTATGGAAAAAAATCCGCATCAGTGTCAGGCAATTGACTTCGATGACTTCTTCATAGAATTAAAAGCTGCTCCTGCTCTGGTAGTTTCCATAAATGCAAACAGCCTGCTCAGACAGTTCCATGTGGTAGACACTGAGGCGATGGATATGACAGATGAGTTTGGATATGGAGACCAGGACGTTTGAACATGTTGATACCAAGGACGTACAAAATAGTGGAGGGGAACGAGGTCATCTCACTACCAGTAAAAACAAGCAACACACAAAACGCCTAACAGCGCCGCGATGAGATGATCGATGGGACAAGACAGGCAAGCCAAGCAGTGATATCACTGATTCGGCCTCAGTGACTGTGGGGGGGCTGTACGGAGAAAGAAGTGAGCTGATGGTTCATTTTAATTTGTTATTGTTACAGACCTAGCTGATTGGCCTGCACTTGGCCCCCACATCTCAGCCCTCTACAAGCACTGTGCTGCAACAGGATGGCACCCAGCTGTCACAACCTGGCTTCTCTCGTATCGTACCTAGGGTTCTAGTTAGTTGTATTTCGAGACAGGACACTTACCCTAAGTGTCTTCCAAGCACTCATATGCTCAATGACCATCCAGGTCCTCTGTATATCACGTCGAAGGTATCTCGCCCCCTCCAGGCTCCGTAAGGTAGTCAACAGGTAGAATCAGTAAAGGTAACTAATAGAGAAACAAGGTCAACCGAGCACGTATGCTGGGTTGTTGGTTAAGTGCGGACGAGTCAGAAACTAGAAGGTAACCAATGCTTGGTTAACTAGATTGATTGTGAAGAACTAAACTGAGTACATGAATGAGTGTCCTTATATATCCTCCATGCCTTCCTGGTATATTGCTGACGTATGGTAGATGTATACCGGGTGGTAGATATATACCAAGTGGTATATATCTATCATTGCCAAGACATATATCGTCACGTGATTTGAAGTGCGACATTTATCTGATCCCTGTATTGTCCTGCATTCACCATCAAATGTCGTCCAATGATTCTGCCCTGACTCCCCGCCTGATCACGTGAGGCTGATGTGTTTAGGTCTGTAACAGTTACCTTCTAGTTTCTGACTCGTCCGCACTTAACCAACAACCCAGCATACGTGCTCGGTTGGCCTTGTTTCTCTATTCGTTACCTTTACCGTTTCTACTTGTTGATTATCTTACGGAGCCTGGAGGGGGCGAGATACCTTCGACGTGATATATGTAACGGCTCAGCTCAGCGCCTTCATCAGCAAACATCATCAACACGGCAAACAATGTCATGGAAGCAACCAAGGCAAACAAGCTGCTTAGCGAGACCACACACAAACATATAGGACTTCTTCATGTAAATAGATTTGCCTCTTCTCTTTTCTTCTCCAGATTCGATATTCTAGTCAATGGCTACACTGGTTAGATAGGAATATCATTTCATTAGTATCTACTGGTCCGAGCCCGTGACAATATACAGAGGACCTGGATGGTCATTGAGCATATGAGTGCTTGGAAGACACTTAGGGTAAGTGTCCTGTCTCGAAATACAACTAACTAGAACCCTAGGTACGATACGAGAGAAGCCAGGTTGTGACACTGACCAAGCAGCTGCTTCAGGCTTAGCTGAATCACATGCGCCATACATGGAACCTGAATAACAGTAGTTTCAGGGTCTAAGCTTAATGACTGGATCGATTCATCAAGGGCCTTGACTAATGTTGAGTTATTTGATGCATTATCAGTAGTGATAGCCAGAACCCTATCCTGAATATTATATCTCTGGAGTATTTCAAGCACCACTGCACTAAGGTTTACACCAGAGTGCTTACCTGAAGGAGGTTCAAAACCAAGTAGAACCTCATGATACTGCCAATCAGAATCAATGAAATACCCTGTTATTGCCATAAATGCTTGCTGAAAAGGAGACGTCCAGCAATCTAAGCTAATTGATAGCTTAGTATTTGGTGGAAGCATACAAAGGACCTCTGCTTGCTGATCTTGCGCTTTCATCTGAATCTGACTTCGAATAACCTTTCGAGAGGGTATAGAGAGTGTAGACTTTGAGGACTGAGCAAGATTAAGAAGGTTCCAAAACTCTTGGTGCTCAACGATCTGGAAGGGAAGGCATAGGGTTGTAATAGTAGTAACCAATTGGTGCTCCCAATTTGTATCTGTGAAGGACTGGGATGATTCAGGTCTAGTGGTTGCCTAAGAATATCATAGAATTAGTATATGAAAGGTATTCAATCCACTTTGTTTGCTTTGGTCACCTGGTTCTGTACTAGG